TTTTTATCTGAAGTATAGTTAGAAGTTATAACATCACCGGGATGAGAATCTAAATCCTGTAATTCAAGGATAGAAATGATTAATAACATATATAAGAAAATATTTTGTTTTTCAAGCAAGTCTTGTGATAATTGTTGTAATACTGTTATTTTGCATCGCTCACTAAGATTATATCTTCTCAAAAATTCACTTAGCCATTTGTTTGAAAATTTAAATGAAATGATATTTGGATTATTTGCCAAAAAATCCTGATTTTTAGATAGCATGATTGCTTTATTAGTAATCATTTTTCAGCTAATGGCATTTTAATTTATTTTTTTATCACAAACCTATATATATAATTTATCTTTCAAATTTGTATATTTAGCAAATTTATCCAGATAAAGCTTAAGAATATGAGATGCACATGCCAATAATTTTGCTTTATTGTTATTCTATTCACGTACTTGTTTAGTTGAATATTAAAATATTTAGCAGTTTCATGTTTACTTCTTTCATTATTTTCCAAAAAATGCATTACTATTAATTTTTTTCTTATATTCCATTGTCATCTTTTCTTTTGTGATAAACGATTACGTGCTTTTTGATTTTTTTTATTTTCAATAATAACTGTTTTTACTTTAAAATAATTTACGTCACAAATAAAAGACAAAAAAATGAAAGCGCGTTTATTATTTATAAGGATTTATTATATAAAATAGGGGAAGAAACAGATAAATGTGATTTTTATTAATCTTTTTTTCCCAAAAAGGTAATTTACCTTACTTTTAAAATATAAATATGTCTGAGTATTATATATGGTAAATATTCTGGATACTTTATAAACCTTATACCCCTCTTATGCACAGTATCTCTACTGTATCTCTGTATAATATACCCTGGATATAGCCTTTAACTCCCTAAAATTTGTATCATACCCAGGGTATTATAGCCCTGTTATACGGTATGTCATTTATGTCAAATTAGTCAATCTTCTATGCTATATAGGCTGTGTCATATTTATCTATTCATAATACATAAATTTATTTTTTATAATTTTAACTAATTTTGAAATTTTAATTTAAAAAATTTGTCTTTTTAATTTAAATAAAGTTGTTTAATATGTTTAAATTAATTTTATTAAGATTAAACAAATATTTATTTAGTAAATAATGACTTTTATAATATTAATAATATATAAATTCATTTTCTATGCTATTTAATAACTTTTATTAAAAATTTGAATTAAAATAAAAAGTATATAAAATGTAATTAATATTATTGTTTAAATTTTAAAAATTTTATAGTACTTATTTACTTAATTGATAATTTTTAAGTTTATTTTATAATTAAATTTATATTTTAAATTGACATTAAATTATTTATTTAATTTAAGTTAATTTATATCAATTAGTATTAATTAAAATCAAATAATTTTATCAAAAATAATATTAAATTTAATCTAAATTTAATTATCTATTTTCTAATAGATTTGAATTATTTTGACTAGTAAATTATATAAGAATTTATTTATAAATTAGATTAAAATTTAAATAAAAAAAATAAAAGATTAAATGGTTAATAAAATGATATAAAATATATATCATATAAAAATATCTATACTATATTTTAAAAAAAAAATATAATAGATGATACTAAAAAATATTGATAAATTAAAAGAATATTAGAATCAATAGAATATTATACTAATAAAAATATAATATTTATATTTTTGAGATTATTTTAGTTAAAATATCTTTTAATAATTTTAAAAAATCAAATGATAATATAAATATGATATAAAAATAGTTGAATTATTAAAATATAAGAATATAATCAAGAAATTTTATATTAATTTTTTAAAATCAGATAAACTTTAGACAAAAAATAAGAAAATTTTAAACTCTAAAGTATACTATTACAATTCAGAAACAACTTTTTTATAAATGCTAGTACTAGTTAAAGAACTAGTAGAATTTTATAGAATTTTTATAATTAAAATTCAAGTTAACATTAAAACTTATATTAAATTAAAGTTAGAATCAGAATTATATTAGTTATAAATCTGAATCAGTTGAGAAATCTTCTAATAAATCACTTATATCAAAGAAAGAAATGATTAATAACATATATAAGAAAATATAAAATTTCTGATAACTTTAATTATAAAGATAAAAAATTATACTTGCATTATAATATAATCAAAGGTTTAACTAATTTTTAAACTCCATGATTTATTTTTATTTACAAAAACAGATATAAGTTAAATCAATGGAAAATTAAAAGTAGAATTATAATCAGACTGAATCGGAGATAGGTATGAAGGTAAAAGTAGAAGGTAAGTTAAAACAGAAACAAAAAATTCATTTAAATTAACATTATAATATTATATTCATTTAAGATTTAGTTTTACTTTGATGTGATTGCAGGTGGTTAATGAATGTGATAATAGAAACGTAACTTTTCAATAAAGATAAATTACAAGTTTATTTTTTTTTTTTTTTAATCAAAAATTCCACAATCTTTATCTCCTATCTTAACTAAACTCATATTCTTTCTTTTCTCTTTACCTTTGGTATAATTTCTTTTATTATGTTGAAATTTTTTCTTATTAGATTTTTTTAAGGATTTAGCTACACGTTCTTTGATATCTGATTCTGTTAAACGTATTGTGGAAGTCGTAGTAGTAGTAGATATTATTGAAGAATTTGATGTGGAATTTTTAATTATATCCCTATACGCTTTATATTTCCTATTATTATTTAAAAGTTCCGGTTCTAATTCAAGATCACTCTTTTTATCTGAAGTATAGTTAGAAGTTATAACATCACCGGGATGAGAATCTAAATCCTGTAATTCAAGGATAGAAATTATAAGAATCGTCACTTATTTAATGTGAAATAAGTAAAAGATTTATACCTCTGAATCGCTATCGCTTTCTTCTTCAGTTTCGGGTTCAGACACCTCTACATCCTTTATTATTTCAGAACGCTCATTCTCCTGTTCAACGTAATCTGAATTATCGTCAGATATACCTTCGACCTCATCTTCCTCTATATCTTGATTTTCACTTAATTCTGCTTGATACTATAACGATAATATATATATAGAATATATATATTTTTTTTTGTTAAAAGATGATGTTAACTATTAATTTAAAGAATCTTGATTCTTAAGTTCATTACCGCTTCTAATTCTTCTTGATGTTGCTTAGTGAATCCACTAGCAGAAACTTGAACATCCAAATAAAATTCACGATTCACATCTAATTTAAACTTTGGATATAACATACTCTCGTAATTATATCTTTTACGAAAATAAGTACGAATACATTCAACATCTCGATTAAAGTACCTACAAAATCAAGAAAATTTAACATTAATTCTAGGGAAACCTTTTCCAAGCAAAAAAAAAAATACCTTACCATTCAGCGTTAAAGTGTGATATAGAAACCATTTGGGGAAAATCAATTAATATAGGATCTCCATTATCTTTCACAAGGATATTAAATTCATTAAAGTCACCATGTATGAGACCATATTGTGCTAATTTTACTATTAAATTCATCAAGTCAGAATAAAGTTTTCCTGGATCTTTTACTTCTGATATTTGACGGCTAAAGGAAATGAATGGGTAAAGGTTTTATTATTTTAGAGAGTAGGAAAAAAAAAAGAAATACGACGTACAGTGGATACGCGTCTATTAATTCCATCACTACACAATGTCGAGCTTGGTCGATTGGTTGTGGTACAGGAAAGCCATTGTCATACAAGACCTATTTACATAATGACAAAATTTGGTAAAAGGATCTTTTTCCTCCATCGTTAAGTATATTTATATCTTACTTTCATAAATGCGTATTCTTTCATTGCTGCTAATCGTGACATGTACATCCACGAAGCTGATTTACGTTTTTGAAGATAATCGCGTTTTGACTTTATGGCACGGAAAGAAACGCGTCCAAGTCTAATGTATGACAATTTAATAATTAGGAAACAAACAACAGAAGGGGAGAAGTAAATGTTCTTACCTATGAATTTTCAATACAAGTTGATTTTCACTTTCATCAGCAACAATATATATATCTTGAATGAGAAAACATAACGGATCAGAAAATATACTGATGTGAAATATATCTATATCAAATGACGCAAAATACCGGATTCTTTTCCAACACCGATTTGATTGCCTACAGAAGACACGCTTCCACGTTTGACAAAGGTTTTTAAAGCGAGATAATCATATCCACCATAAGTTAACCTATATCCCTCATCTAATCGACATCAAGAATTAAGAATTATAAATTCCAACGTCAAATAATTAACGAAAAAAAATTTTGAATCATACATTTTGCATTTTTGATTTTTGCTACTAAATTTTTCTTTGCCAATTCTCCGATAATTTTATGACTACCTCCGTGGCGAAGGCCAGCAATTTGAGCAATTAAAGTTAGGGGAACGAGTTCATGATTCTTTGACCCCATTTCAACCTAAATTTATGGGGTTTGATTTAGACTAAATACTAAATGAAATGACCTCGTATATTGAAAAAATGAACATACTGCTGTTAGAACTCGGAATTCGTCCGAAGACATATATCGAAGTACTTTGACATCAAGTTTCATTATGAGTTATTAGTGTATGTCCAAATAATACCTATTTTTTTTTAATTAAATCAAGAAACTATTCTTATTTGTCAATTCATAATTCAATTCGATCTGATAACTTCCAGATCTTTTTGTACGACACAACCGGACAAATTTTTTTAGTGGCAAAGTCAATGAACGGAAGACGGGAAATGAAATTCTTTTAGGTTCCACACAAAAAAAATTCAATTTTTCAAAACGAATTTTATTGGCTTAACTTGGGTGGCACAAATAATAACAAACGGGAAGTAAGAAAAAAAAAAAAAGAGCCAAGACCTGATTGGTTGGGGGTTTTTTTGAAAGAAATATCGTCTTTTTACACAACAAAGTTTTCTAAATGAAGTTAAAAGGAAAATGTTAAATTACTCAATTAAGTAAACGACAATAGAATTTCGAAATTGTAATGTAATCAAATGTCAGTCCAATCCTACATTATTTCTAATTTTTAAAGAAAAAACCCCCCAAAGTAATGATGATTCTTAAAATTTTATTGTTCAAATAGATTTGTAAAGAACAACAATTTTAGGTTTAATCTTTGTATTGAGATTTTCAGTGTTTGAAATGAGTACAAAATTATAACCGTGCATAAAAAAAAAAAAAACCACACTTAAAAAGAGTACATAAATTATTTTTTTTTTTTAAAAAAAAAAAAAATTCCGGTAAATCAATGATCACTGATCACATGATCTAAGAATTTAGTAATAGGTAAATATTTGATTATTTGATTACATGACGACATTCGTAGTCTTCAAATTCACGTTTGTTTATTTACTTTTGTCTCTCATTATCCCTTAAGAGAGTTTTCACAACAGGGCATTTTCTTATAACATAGCCAGTCGTTACTTGTTGTTTATTAACTTTGTATGCAACAGTAAGTATTTTTTCGTGTAAGTTTAGATCAAAACTAAATAATGTTTGTTCTTTTTATTGATTTTTAAAAGTTATATGTAAAAGCAGCTACTTTATTTTAAAAAAGTTTACAGTTTTCATATTGTAAATATTTTCGTGTTCGGTTTGCATAATAATAAAAGTTCAGAAAATATAAAAAAAAGACAAGTTGTCAAAAAGTATGTCACGCAGTAAACAAGAAGAAGAGGTGGACGTTGCTGATCAGTTTCTGAATCTGAACTATGACGGAGAGGTAACGACGACCGTCGAAGCTGAAGGTACCTCGGTTGATCAACCCGAGCAAGATACTTCGACTACAGATAAAATAGAAGTACCGCCACCGACAGATATCCCTAAGGATGAGAGTCAAAAAATTGAAGACCCTTCAAATGAAAAGGAAAACAAAGATCCCGAAGAGGGGGACGCGGTTCAAGAACAATCGAACGGTAATGAAAAAAATGAGAAAAATGAGAAGACTGAAAAAAATGAGAAAGATGATGAAGCTGAGGTTTACGAAGTAGAGTCGGTGCTTGATCATAATAAGAGAAAAGTAAGTGAGAATTTGACTTTCACAATTATCTTTTTTTCTCATAATTAATTGACATTTTCTATTAGAATAAAACGTATTACTTAATTAAATGGAAAGGTAATTAATGTTAGAATTTTTTTTTTTTTTAAAAAAAAATGGGATTCATTTTTTTTTTTTTTTTACAAAAAGTTTAAAATTAAAATTAATTCAATTTTTTTTTTTCCTTAAAAAAAAAAAAATAAAATTAAAATAAAATAAAAAAATTCGAAAGGCTATACTGAGGAAGAGTCTACTTGGGAAGATGAGGATAACGTGTATGAATAATTTATTAAATAATATTTTATGTTGGATAAAATTGGTAACAAAAAATTTATGTAATATAATCTATAATAATCTATAATTATTTGGGTTAATAGTTTCGCTGAAGATTTAGTAAAAGAATATTGGACAAAGCAAAATTCTGATGAAACAAAGCAGAAAGAGACCAGGAAAGGTAGAAAGAGAGTTGCTACTGCTCCTCCTCCCATCCATTCTAAAAAAGAAACAAAGAAAGCACGTATTTCTACACCAAAAAAAGCGAAAGCAGGCAGAGTTAAAATAGATGAAGATTTTGATCATGACGAAGACTGGGAGAGTTTGGTTTCAGGGGTTGAGACGGTCACTCGTGATGATAAAACTGGCGAACTACTGGTCTATTTGAAATGGTAAATTGAATATTTTTCAATTTGGAAAATTAAAATTTTTAAATTCTAACTTTATAAATTTTGTTAAGGAAAAATGGTGACACCTCGAGACATCCAGCTAAAGAAGCCAATATCAAATGCCCTCAAAAGGTAAAATTTATCTTAATTGATGGATTATATTAATTCATTCGTTAAATTAATTTATATTTGTTGATTTATTGATTTATTTTAGATGATAAGATTTTATGAACAACGCCTGACCTTTGCTGCCCCACAACAAAAGTCTTAATCTATATTAAAGTTCATAATGAACTCAATTAGACGTATAGGATCATTCCTTCGATTTGAATATTCAAATTAATCTTTTAGTATGCATTTTTATTTCTCAATGCAGTTGGAATGTAAATAGAACATTATTAATTAATAATGTTCCTTGCTCTTATATTCGATTTTCTTCTATATTTTTTTTTTTTTTTTTTTTTTTCTTCTCTTCCTTTATTTCTGGTAAGTTTTATTTCTAATTGATGGTTGCACGGCTGAGAAAAAAATATAATTTTTCATACGGAGGTAAAACGTAATATGATGTTCAAGAAAAAGAAAGAAAAAAGAAAGAAAAAAAAAAAAATTAAATAAATACATCATTTCCTATTTTTTCAAGATATTTTTTTTTTTTAAAAAAAAAAAAACTATTAAATAAAAAAATAATTTTATAATTATAAAATTATTTTCTCGAATTTTCATGATTTTGAGATTGCACGCGATATTTGATTTTCAAGTCCTGTAGATTATTTGCTATATAAAAAAATTTCCTTCACACAAGTCAAAATTAAACATACACAAAATTACCAAAATTATGCATGGCGTGAATTGAATTGCAAATTACGAAATTTAGATATTAGTAATCATTGAATGAAATGCATATAAAAACCTCGAAAGAAAATTCATTCATATTTTTTTTTTTCTTTTCCTTTTTTTATCACCTAATGTCCTTGCTTTTAAAACCTGTTTTAAGATTTTCCACTACTTTTGATATTCGTTCAAAATTTTTAATTAATACCGCTAAAAATTTATTTAATAAAAGTAACTTTCAACCAAAAAACGGGTTCCCTTTACAACGTATAACTTTTCAAACTATTCAACGAAAGGACATGCATTCAAAAGTTGTTATTATCGGTTCCGGTCCGGCTGGTCACACTGCCGCACTTTACTTATCAAGGGCAACTTTAGAACCCGTAATGTTTGAGGGTTTCCTTGCGAACGGGTTTGCCGCGGGTGGTCAAGTAAGAATTTCGTTTCTTATATATAATTTTTTTTTTTTTTTTTGAGAGTCGAAACTTTCGCGTTGACTCTTATAAATTCTACTTATAATTATATAAATAACGTGTATAAAAGCTTACCACTACGACTGATGTGGAAAATTATCCCGGATTTCCTGAAGGAATCATGGGTCAAGAAATGATGGATAAATTTCGACAGCAAAGTTTAAGATTTGGGACCAATATCATCACTGAAACTATATCAAAGATTGATCTTTCCTCCAGACCCTTTAAATTATGGCGCGAAGGGATGGAAAATCAAGCACCTGACACGTCCGATTCATTAATCGTGGCCACCGGTGCAGCGGCAAAGAGGTTAAATCTTCCCGGTGAAGATGTTTATTGGCAAAAGGGGATTTCCGCTTGTGCTGTATGTGATGGTGCTGTTCCAATCTTTAGGAACAAACCTTTGGCCGTTGTAGGTGGTGGAGATTCAGCCGCCGAGGAAGCTTTATTTCTTACAAAATATGCTTCTCACGTTTACGTGCTCGTTCGTAGGGATAAACTCCGTGCTTCTAAAGTGATGGCAAATCGGTTACTATCTAATCCAAAAGTTACCGTAACTTGGAACACTATTCCAATCGAATGTAAAGGTAATGGTCAACTTCTTAATCTGTTGATTACTAAAGATACAAAGACTGGAGAAGAAAAGGAATTGCCAGTTAATGGGTTGTTTTATGCTATTGGTCACGTTCCTGCTACCGAATTAGTGAAAGATCAATTGGAATTGGATACTGACGGATATATTATTACTAAACCTGATAGCACTTATACTAATGTTGAAGGTGTCTTTGCTGCTGGTGATGTTAAAGACAAAAAATATAGACAAGCCATTACCAGTGCCGGTTCTGGTTGTATGGCAGCTTTAGAATGTGAACGTTGGTTAAGCGAACAACATCCCGAATAAAAATAAATTTTATTTTGGGTTGCGCTTTATTTTCAATGCATTTAAAATTAGAATATTTATTAGCATTTATTTTATGTTTTCTCTTGAAAAAATGATAACAAAAAAAAAAAAATATTACATATTTATCACCATAATACAAATGATGAAAATGTATATATAGCAATAAATCACTATTAATATTATTAATTCACAAATAACACAAAAAATAATAATAATCAAATCCTATTTATTTAATCCTGGTAATGCATCTCGATTCCTCTTCATAAGAGCCCGATGTGGACTTATTAAGTTACCTGAAGTAGATTGAAATGGCCTTGGCATGGAATAATTCGATGGCGTTTGAGGTTGTTCATAACTAAATGATTGATATAAAATAATAAAAATGAACTTAACATTATAAATAGACATTTCTTTAATGAAGAATTACTTTAAGATCTTTCAGCATATACCCTTAAGCATATTACATGACTGTTGCCACGTTATACGCTTATTAGATGCTGTTCCAGGTTGAGGAAATTGGTCGTAGTTACTTTCAGGAAAAAGTGCCGTAGAACTTTTGTTAGATGGTAGGATCATATCTCTGATATTACGAATGTTGAATTATAACTTTGATTATTTGAACTCGTATATTAATTTTTTTTGGAAAAAAATAATTTCTTTTTTTTTTATACCTTGATTGACTAAGGAAATCACTATCCCCAACATAATTTACAAAGCCAATATTACATGATGCCTGGTTACGAGATATTTCATGATTACTTGGATAATACTTTTGAATGATCATCATGATGTTGCGATTGTTTTGCGCGATACTTTGTCGGAGACGTTATATTTGAAAGTGAAACCCGACTAGGTCGATCTGGAGTACTTGGTGGACGCGTCTTTACATAAAAAAAAAAAAAAAAACATTCATTGGAATCATTAAGAAAGATACGTGTCAATATAATAATAGTATAACCTACCCGACTCGGTGTAACATTAAGGTTGATGCCATTTTGAACAGAATTTGGAATTGATGATTTATGAAACTTACGTGAACTAAATTAGATACGACTCATTATTAAATATCAAATGAACACAAATTCCTTTTAATCAAATAAATATAATAAATAAATAAATAAATAAAATAGAATAAAATAGAATAAAACCTGGTCGTCGGTGATTCAAATGGTCTCTTTAAAGTTTTGAACAAACTTCTTGCAATTGAGATTTAAGTCGATCGTTTTCATCCTTAAGTCTCTGTATCTCACTTACAAGGATCAAGTTACGAATAAGGATATAAAAATTTGATGGAATCTAATTATCAAGAATCTTTTAAACAAACTTACTTTTGAATCTCTTTATATTGAAGTAATTCTATTCTCGTCTTTTCGAGCATTTGACTTTGTTGGAACACTTTGTCTTTTAAAAATTCAATCAATGAAATTGTATTCGTTCGCCGAAACTATTTGTGCGGTTAAAATTGTAAAGTTGGAAAATTCAACAAATTTCTTACCTTCATAATCTCAATGGCTTTATCTAAAATCTCGTGATCAGGTCGAAAAAAACCTAGCAAGTTCAAGAGGAAGCTAGAATTATTCAGGACAAGGTTTCCCGATAGAAAAAGAACCCTTGCCTTATTGGTCAGTGCGACCACCACGCACGTTTTATTACAAACGGGACAGGTATGATTTTGTAACATTAGGGGAATTATCTAAAAGATTTTTCTCACACATTCAAAAATCTTGATATTTTTTCCTCGAATAATACGAAAGTTTTGAAAAATGACGCGTAAAAATGTCAAAACTATACCTCAATTATCTTCTTCGTGTTTATTTAGACACGAGTGGCATACTACATGTCCACACTCTGTTAACCAAAATCGGAATTGGTCTTCTTTGAAGACGAAGGATATTTAATACAAGAATTGCAGTGAAGAAATTCAACATACATTGCGATAAGAATAGCAACGTCACGTTCTATCAACATAAATTCTTAAATTTTAAATTTCTATTGCATGTAGATCCTTTTCCTAATCAATGTTGCACAACCAAAAAAAAGTATGCAAGACGTATGATTTTATAATATACTAAAATTGAATTGCTGAATGATAAAAAATAAATAATAATAAAATAATGTTTAAACTTGTGATTAAAATATAAATTTGTAGCGAATATTTCTACAATCACTGATTCAATGAAAATTTATACAAATATATTTTGAGATATATAAAAAATTTGGTTTAATGTCTCTACAAAGTTTAAGAAATAAACCTAGAAGGCCTTTTTGGAAACTTCCCCAACATCGTTTACCAGTACTATCACTTTACAAATCTTTACTTAAAATATCCAAATCATTTCCCGATGAACTTCATCAAAAGTATTTATTCTACCATATTCGTCAAAAATTTAGGTTAAGGAGGCACGAAACTTCAATAACCAAGACCATTGAATATTTATCAGAGGCTCAAGAGGTAAAAAAAAGAATTAATAATGATTCCTAATTGTCACTTTAGAATAATAAGCTTGATATTTTGTGGACTTTTTGAATGAAGTGTAAATCTACTATAATAAAAGCGCTTAACGGAGATAAGGAAGCTTTCCAACATATTGATGACTTAACATGGGGTAGAAAAGGGAGACTTAAAGAAGTTCTGGATATCGTAAGTTAATTAATTGTTAATCGATAATTTGTTATCGTTACTCATATTAACATTATTCTGATATACATAAATTCAGTTGGAAAATTGGAAGAAGGTATGTTATGTAACTATTTATTTCAAATCATTTCCCATGCTAACATATAATTATTTATAGCCTAAGTTGCATAAATTCGTCAAGGATACACGGACTTATGGTAATCGCGCACGTGATCCTCATCCCGCTTATAGAATTCCTTTAGACAAACGTTTATATACTCCTCCAGAATACAAAGAACCAATAAAAATATTTCCAAAGAAAAAACATCCTTTTAGACCAAACTTAAGGACATATACAGTAGTTACTCAGTTGGGTTATAAACTTTGGAGGGTTCGAGGATGGAAACAACCCACTTGGATTTCCTTGATGATGAATAAACGTATAAAAGCACATCAGAGGCGTATTGATAGATATCATCAACTGGAAGAACAACTTGAAATGGTTAGATTAGAACAACGCATACTTCGAATGTTAGACCCAACTTTAGTTCTAGAGGAAAAAGAATTTGGTATGTTGTCTTTATTAATTCCCTAAAATTTGTCATTTATTTATTAAATTTATTTTTATTTTCCTTGCAGAAAAGAGAATACTTAGTGAATTAGGCGAAAGCAAAAAGTATCATGATAGAATACTTAAGATGCAAGCAAAAAAAGAAGAATTAGATGAAGCAGACATATAGAATCCTTGCATTTCATGATTTAAAATTAGGTGGTCGATCTACAATCTTTAAAAATTGCAAAGAATATTTTTTTTATAGGCATTATCAAATGTGCATTTAATTAAACATTAAAAAATTTAAACAATCTTAATTTATTATGTATAGGTTAAATTACTTTTCTATCATAATTTATAATTACTTATCTTCTAATTTCAAAAAGTTTTGAATACTAAGACTTAAAGCATCTATTTCAGCTTGATATGCTTTGAGCTAATATGGGAAAATATTAGTTAATAAATTAGAAATTAGGTAAGAATGTGTTTAAATAGATTGAATGATTCAATTTAATCAATAATTTTCATACCCTAATTTCATCAGCTTCTTTTACATTTGCTGGAACTTTGTTTTCATAATCAAGAGTTGATGTTCTCTTCTGAAGTGACGTTAGTAACTGATTTGTTTTATCAAGTTTATTTTGGAATTTTAAAACTTCAGCATCAATATCAACAAACCCCTAAAATAAATTATGATTAATTATAGTAAAAATGTGTTTCTATTTATACCTATCGAGAAATTTTGTCTTACCTTAACCATTAATAATACATTGACTTCATCATTTACGGTGCTTAAAGCACAGCCGGACGGAATAGTTTCCCCTTTCTGGAAAACATGTACGGACTTGGCGCTTTTTACTAAAGTTGTAATGCTTTGCTCTTGTGATTTAAGAAAACTAGCAGTTGTTTCAGAGACAGTCTGAATAAACACTAATAGATTATTAATTATTATAAGTGTGAGGACTTGATAAGATTATAGACAATTCAGAAAAGCATCAAAATATTTACGTGAGGCATTGGACTGGATATTATATTCAGCCGTGATTGACCTAGCAGCTTTTATCACAGAGAATACAAGCTCAAATCGTTCTTCTGCCTGTGGATTATGATATCCTGAATTCGCAACAGGATATCTTGCTTTGACGATGGTTGGAATATTATCTCCAGGACGTCGAGGTAAACGTTGATATAATTCTTCTGTCACAAATGGCATAAATGGATGAAGGAGTTTAAGACCGGATTCTAAACAAGTATATAAAGTATCTTGAGCTGATCGTTTGCGCTCCACATTTTCAGTAATTGATGTATCAGCATCTGTTAATGGTTTTATCAATTCCTAGATATTAAAATAGAAATAATATTCTTGTTAAAAAAATTATTATATAAATAAATATTAATTCAAAAGAAATATTATTATTTACAATATAAACGTCACAAAATTCATGTAACCAAAAGTTATACACTGCTGTGGTTGCAACCATAAAATTTCTTTCGTGCAAAGCTTTGTTTGTTTCAATGGTACTTTGATTTAGCTTGTGTAATACCCATTGTTCAGTTAATGACTCTTTACCGGTTTTCTAAGGATAGAATAAAGTGTGTTAGAATTACGCAAAATCATTTAATCTAATAAAACAATAGCCTACATACTTTGCCATTTTCTCTTGGTTTGAAATCATCTCCTAATTTCATTAACGCAAATCTAGTGGCGTTCCATAATTTATTACAGAATTTTCTATAACCTTCTACGCGAAGGATATCAAGATTGATATCACGACCTAGAATGTCAATAATAAATTATTATTATCGTGTGCAGTAATCAAAAAAAAAAAAAAAAATTGAATGACAATTATAGTATAAAATTACCTCCTGAACTATATGCACATAACGCGAATCTCAAAGCATCTGTACCACATTCAGGGATACCATTTGGAAAATCGGCTTTTTGACCAGCTATCGCTCTTTCTATTTCACGTTTGTCAAGGTTCCCCTCATATAATTTGGAATGTAATTTCTCCAATGTTATACCTTGAATTACATCCACCGGATCGATTACATTACCCAATGATTTACTCATCTTGCGCCCATGTGCGTCTCTAATCATTGCGTGACAAAAAACCTCTTCAAAAGGAACCTGTCCAGTTAATTTAATACCCAACATAACCATTCGAGCTACCCAGAAAAATAAAATGTCCCATCCAGTTTCTAAAAGTGATGTGGGATAAAACTTTTTTAGGTCTTGTGTCTGTGGGTGTGAAATCATTGTTACTAAAAATAATTCAATCAGAACTTTTGAAAAAATAAATAAATAGGAATATACATTATTTGGCCAACCAAAAATAGAAAATGGCCATAATCCGGAAGAAAACCAAGTGTCCAACACATCTGGATCTTGTTCCAGGGTGAAATCAACATTTGGAAATTTTTGTTTTGCCTTTTCATGAGCAATTTCTAAATTATGACCTGATATCCAAAAATTGCCATCCGCGGACTAATGTTTATTAAACAAATTAATAAAATTACTTAAAACTAAAAAAAAAAATCTGTAATTTTTTTCTACATACATCTTGATCCTGGTTTGGAATTTTTATGAAATAAGCGGGAACTTGATGCCCCCACCACAGCTGACGTGAAATGCACCAATCTTGAATGTTACCAAGCCATCTAAACCATTCTTTTTCTGATGCCTTGGGGAAAATGTGCAACTTCCCTTCTTCTACAGCCTAATTAATTTATTGAAGTATAAATTTTTTCCTAAATAAAAAGCTATATACATAATTATTTGTAAAAGGAAATACGATACAAACCTTCATCGCATCTTTAGCCATATCGGAACAACTGACCCACCATTGAGGTTTTAATAGTGGTTCAATTACATCTCCTGATTTACTATAAAAAGAAAATAAAAAATATTTGCATAACAAAACTTTAAATTATTCGATGAAGGTTTTAATATCTTACGAGCAAATGGGAACGGTCATAGGATTTTCTATTGTCTCAACGTATAAGCCTTTATCTTTAAGTGCGTCGACAACAGCTTTACGAACGTGGAACCTCTTCATTCCCTATATATCATAATAATTAATAAAATGAACCGTATTATAAAATAAAATATGAAGTAATATTGACTAACTTGGAAAGGAGCACCATTTGCATTTAAAGTACCGTCGTCATTTAGGATATTGATAAATTCGAGATTATGTCTTTTCCC